GGAGAGAGAGAGTGTGGTTCGGAGCCGGGGTGGGTGGGGGGTGGGGAGAGTACGCAACATTTTGTTGCGGGTCTCCACTTGTTTATATTCTATCATTTCAGCATGAAATAAATAAATATTGTATGCCACTCTTGCCTCTACTAGTTTATTAATACATGTTGACATGCTCTTTTTAGAAGCCCATGGCTGAGAAGTAAGGTATATATTGTTTAAATAAGTAAGGGTTTAAGATAAACAAGACTAACCATGAAAAGTCATATGTCCCAAGGATTTTGTTGTTGTTTTTAAAACGCTATCCAGGTGTATATCTTCTTGCTTTTTTTTCTTTTTGCATAGATGAGCTAGAATTGATGGGAAGCTAGTAAAGCTGGGTGTTCTTTAGTAATAATTAACTTAGCTGTAGAATCGCTATATGGGCTGGTGTTTTATCCTTCAGTCCATTTTAGTGTCCATTTGACTTGATTTGGAAGTAATATTTTCTTCTGTAACATTTTGATCTCCTCCTGGCTCATCAATAAGAAGTAGCCCTTATGTGGCTATGTTGAGGGATATGACATTTCTTACTATCACTCAATAAGCAAGTAATTAAATTTCATAAATCACTTTGCCTAAATAGTGGTGTTAACTATGCCAGTAATTATAGGGTAAATATCTGTCTTTGTTCAATAATCTCGATTTTTTTTTGTTTTACTTCCTTCCTTGGTAGAACTCAACTACATGTATTTTGATGAAAGAATCAAAACGTTGCTTATGACTTGCAGCTTTTTCAGCAGCTGACGTATACATGAACCTCTGTATATTTTTGTATAAGCAGAATGCATTAGTTGACTTTAAATAAGAACATAAGAGCATAAGAGATGCCAATGTTGGATCAGGCCAAAGGCCCATCCAGTCCAACACTCTGTATCCCACAGTGGCCAGAAATACCAGTGCCATCAGGAGGTCCACCAGTGGGGCCAGGACATTAGAAGCCCTCCCACTGCTGACCCCCCCCCCCCAAGCACCAAGATGACAAAGCATCACTTGCCCCAGAGTCCCTATCTATACCTTGTGGCTAATAGCCACTGATGGACCTCTGCTCCATATGCCATATAGAAAGTAAATAATTTTTTCTGTATGCGGCCTACAGTAAAAGCAAATAAAAGATCCTGGGTAAGATCCTACAGACTATTTCCACTGGCATAATAGCATTTCCTCTGGCAGAGCAGGATGGCATGATTTTTGTTGATTTCTTCCCATTGTAGA